TTGCCGATCGGCGGGGGCCCCCCCAAACCCCCCTTTCCCCCCCATGGAGTGGATCTTGGCTGTTTTTGGGCGCCTGTTTCGAGCGGGTGGGGCTTCCCCCAGCGGCCGCAGTCCTGCAAACCGTCGCACCAAGCAGAGGTCCGGAGCCTATCCCCCCCTCCCCCCTTCCGCCCAATGCCGAAACGCCGAATAAGAAACGCTCGCAAGACTGAAGGATGAGCGAGGAGAGGGATGGAGAAGCAGGGGCGACGGAGCACGGAAGCAGACCAGCACGGAGGAGCGGAGGTGATGGAGGAGGCAGGGGGTGCTCTGGCCATGGTGTGGCCGGGAGGCCGAATGGTGTAGTTGGGAGCGCTTGGCGCACACGGAAGCTGAACCATTCGCGGAGGGGCGGCCAATTCAAGATCAGGTGTTCGCATTTCGGAGGGTCGCTGGCTTTCGGATGCAGGTTGGGCCCATGGGGTGTGCAAAACACATGTGCGCGAGGTGTTCGTCGGGCAACTACGTATCGGGTTACGCAGTGGATACGCGTCAGCATCGGCTACTAGCTTGTTCTTTCCATCCCCGTCCTCGCTCCCTTCGGCATCGGGCCTTGAACTTTTCGCACACGCCCGCGTGGCGGGCGTTTCGGACCGTCGGGCTCGGGCGAGTCCGGCGTTTCCCTGGCATGTCCGAGGCTGTGCCTTTGAGGACGGCCGAAGCCAGCCGAGTCATCCCTCCCTGCCTCCCTCCTCCTCGATCCTCGAGCCTCGGTCATCGCATGTCGATCCTTGATCCTCGATCCTCGATCCTTGGACGTGATCCTCGATTTTCGGTCCTTGATCCTCGATCCTCGATCCTCGAACCTTGATCCTCGATCCTCGGTCCTTGGTCCTCGGTCCTCGATCCTTGGTCCTCGGTCCTCGGTCCTCGATCCTCGAAGCCAACCGAGTCGTCCCTCCTTGCCTCCCTCCTCCTCGATCCTCGAGCCTCGGTCATCGCATGGCGATCCTTGCTCCTCGAACGTTCCTCGATCCTCGATCCTCGAACCTCGATCCTCGAACCTCGATCCTCGATCCTCGAACCTCGATCCTCGATCCTCGAGCCTCGATCGTCGCATGTCGATCCTCGATCCTCGATCCTCGAACGTTCCTCCTCCTCTCCCCGAGCCGCGAAGCGCTCGACCCTCGCTGCTCGATCTTCGACCCCCTCGCTGCTCCATCCTCGCTGCTCGATCCTCGAACCTCGATCCTTGGGTTCGATTCTCGAAGCTCGATCCTCGAACCTCGATCGTCGAAGCTCGATCCTCGATCCTCGATCCTCATTGTTCGATCCTCGATCCTCGCTGCTCGATCCTCGCTGCTCGATCCTCGACCCTCGCTGCTCGATCCTCGACCCTCGCTGCTCGATCCTTGCTGCTCGATCCTCGAACCTGGATCCCTGGGTTCGATCCTCGAAGCTCGACCCTCGAACCTCGATCGTCGACCCTCGATCCTCGATCCTCGATCCTCACAGCTCGATCCTCGAACCTCGGGTTCGATTTTCGAAGATCGATCCTCGAACCTCGATCGTCGATGCCCTCCCCGCCTGCAGGTCACGGCTCACCTGGAGGAGGTCGCGACCCGCGCGGAGCAGGTGCTGAGACTGGCGTGGCAGCTCAGCGGCAAGGCCGACACGCCAGAGGGGGCCACTGCGCCGTCGTCGACGACGTCGCCGCGCTCGAGGACAGAGGCTCGGGGATCCAGGCTCAGAGATCGAGGTTTGCAGGTGTTCTTGGGCCACTATGGGTCCCCCTCGTGGCCACGGCTGCATTCCCCATCGGAATTCGGGCCGGAGCTTGCCCCAGGACGGGTCAGGGGGTCGTCGTCGTCGTTGTCGTCGTCGTTGTCGGCGGCGTCGGCGTCGTCGTCGTCGTCGGAGATGGGAGGGGGGGACGGAGGACCGACGAGGACGAGGAGGAGGAGGGAGATGACGAACCATGACGGCGGAGGAGGAGGGGAAGGGGAGGAGCACAGTCGAGGGAGGACGTGCTGGAGGGGTTGGGGAGTTTTTCGGCGGCTTTCTCGGTTGTCTTGGGGGTCAGTGGAGGCAGGTGGTTTCCATTTCGTTTCGCACGTGCAGGAGGAGGAGGAGGTGAAGGAGGAGGATGAAGAGGAGGAGGAAGGGCCGAGGGAAGAGCATGAGGAGGATGAGGAGCGGAGGAGAGCGAGGAGGAGAAGGAGGAGGATGAGGTGGAGGAAAAGGAGCACGATAAGAAGGATTGTAAGCCTGAAACGTATTGGAGGAGCAGACATAGCAGGAGGAGGTATGCCGATGATTAGGATTATTTCCATGACGATGCTGCTGCTGATGGTGCTGATGATGCTGATGGTGATGGTGATTATGATGATACTGTTGGTGATGATGATCCTGATGATGACGACGACGACGATGATGATGATGACGACGATGATGATTCAGATGATGATGACGATGATGATGATGCTGATGATGATGCTGATGATGATGATTATGATGCTGCTGCTGATGATGATGACGATGCTGCTGATGATGATTGTGATGATATTGCCGCTGCTGATGATGATT